CTAGAGGGTAGATTGTTTTAGACGGAGTAGAGGTAAGGCATGTATTAATTAATTGAAAAAAAAGGTCAACGAATGCCACAAACGTTTTACAGACCGCCGCAGAATGTTCATTTATGACAGGACTAATGAAAAAGGAAATATGTAATCGTCCGAATGTCGATGTTTAGGGCCGGCCTCAGAGCAAGTAATTTTTACCTGCTGAAGATCACCGTTCCCCAGAGTCAGTCCAGATATGTACTTAAAACCTCACTCCAAAAAGGTTGCAAACTCATAAGGACACTTCGAAAAAGATAACAGGCTGATGAAGACAAACAGTCGGTAAGTTTTCTTGACCGAAATCCTATGAAATTTAGAGGGTTGAGAAAGTCCGAATTGCTGAGGGCGCCCTTTCATGCAGCACAGATGTTTTTCGTTATTAGTGAGTTTTTAGGCTTACTGCTGAGTGCTCTGCCAAGGCAGTGCAACCCTTCTTTAACGTTTCTGCTAGGCACAGGGAGGTCGCGTAAACCGATCTGCAAACTGCAAGTTCATATGCATCTTTGAGTTTTACTGATGGCAGTGGGGAGGACATGACCCCATAAGTCAGGCGATTGAACATCTGACTCAAACATGCTTGCTGGCAAACACTCTGGGGATCAGCCGAGATACTGTACGGACCGACTGATGAGTGATGAGAGTGAGGCCTGTCCTTGTCTTCGTTTTATTCGTCCGAAACCCCCTTCATCTATTATATTTTCGTTTCCATGCGACCGCCTGCGGGATGTCTATGTCCGGAACTTCGAGGCAAAACGGGACTACTTGTTTCCGCCCTGCAATCAAGACAGATCACCGAATATTTCTACCATGTGACGTTGCATATTGCCGTTGAAGTCAACTGGACATGGGCTGGTAGGTCGCGCGCTATCCCATAAACTATGTCTCCGATTGGAAAAAGATTACTTAAGTGGGACGTATGACTGAATGTCGTACAGTCTAGTGAAAAGAAATGTCAGCCACATCAGGATGCTGGCTTTTGGACGAATCTCTTTCGGGCCGTATGCAGAAACTACACTCCGTAAAAATGAGTACTCAAGTAGCACTAACATCCTCATTGATTTCCGATGGCATTATTCAATGATGTATAGTTAAAAAAATTATACGAAAGGTACTCCTTTTTAAAGTTTTTGGTAGCGAATCACGTCTTCATAAAATTCTGTGCCTCAACAAAAGCACACCACATGGTTTTAAAGGGCTTTCTCAATTCCTGAATAATTTTGAGCCTGACCTGTCGTTGTATCTTTCTTATGGGTTTCCAAACTACAAGCCATACTCCTCTCCTGCAAAAAGCACATTTAGGTAGTTTGTTCAGAAGATCTCATGCAGGGCCCATAAATGTTTGCAGTGGGTCTGAGTCATGTTGTACTTATTAGAAGCAGCATTAATAAATGGACGGCTACGATGCTGAATGGGTAGACATTTTACAGTCTCATAGTTAAACAAAAAGGAAATTTTTAGCACGCACTTTCTACAAAGTATAATTGAGTAAACGGAAATATTGGAAATCAATTGAAAAAACGCCCTTATTATGTAGTCATTTTTTACAAGGTGGAAATTTTTTAAGCGTCCGGAAAGAAGCTCCTACCAAAGTCTACACCATACATGACTAAGTTTTTTATGATTTTACTGTATGGAAATTTGTATATGACACAAATTAGGTAATTTCTTCAAATTAAAGACAAATTTTTAAATTTCGGTTAACATTCCATGAGATGGCGCATCTGCTGAATTTAAAAAAAACTACTCATCGACCAACTGGTTCGACCTCAGATCATAGAGGCCCGCCTCGTATTGGTCTGGGATGTGCTAACGGCGACAAATCGACTATAATATTTTTATTTCGGCACCCTTTGTTCTTGCCCCTCATCTGCACTGCAAAATTACGGAAGAAACTCTCAAATTTTTGGGAAGTGATGATCCGAGTGCCTTAGGAATCTCGGGTCTTGTATATAATGTTACTTCCTTCCTACAAGTTTGAAACAGCCCACTGTGCTATTCTACAGAAAAAAGGGGTAAGATTTGTTTATGTAGCCCCACCTGAAGTAAACAAACCCCAGCCACCTGTAATATGAGACTGAAGGTACTAAGAGTTTTTACAAGTGGGGTGGGGGATCGCACAGGAAACGACGACAAATAATTATATGTAAAAGTAAAACTATTAGGAATGAGCGCATGCACTTTAAGTGATTGAGAAAAAGTTGCGCTTACCCCTTACCCTAACCCCAACCCCTAACCCGAACGCCAGCTCTAACTCCTAACCATAACCTCTAACTTTGGGAAGGTTGGATCTTGCTTATAATGTTACTTTCCCCTACAGTTCTGAAAGGGTTTACCGTTAATTTACAATAAGTGGCCGATGTCATAAAATGTTGGCGGAAATTCTGAAATGCATTTTCGATCAGGAAGGATAACTTAGATTGGGTTGTAAAACTGACTATCCTGCGGCATAATCCTAAAGTATTTCGGACTCAGTAGGATGTCGGCTTTTGACTGCATTTCTTCTCATGCCCTGTAGAAACCGTTCTGTGAAAAATTGACTATTTAAGAAACATGTATTTTTTACACTGATTTTCGATGGTCGTATAAATTCAAATATAGTTTGCAAAAACATGAACAACAATGTTTTTTTCTGTGCGTCTTTGGGGCAAAATCACTTTAGCGTCGTATATTTTACTCGAAGAAGAAGTATAATTGCGTTTTAAAAACGTTTCCAATTATGAGATTTTTTAGGACTGCACAATGTCCATTCATGCAGCATCGTACCTGTCCGTTTACCACTGATGCTCATGAAATGTACAACATGGTCCGTATACATTGCAAAATGTTATGAACTCAATATAACATCTTTCTAAAGACATATAATAATATATGATTTTATTTACGCGGAACGAATGTACCTTGTAGACTGAAAGCACTAAGCGCTAATGCAAAGGCTGATCACGCTCCACATTATCCGGGTTAGAAGACTTTTTGAAAACCTTATCATACTCCATCTTTGACTATAATGTATGACTTTAACGCGATTTTGTAACAAACACGCGAAAGAAAGAATATCTTTGTTAATGCTTTTTATAAAATATATTTGAATTTATACGACCATGGAAAGTCAGTGTGAAGAGTGCAGGCTACTTAATTAGTCAATTTTTTCCAAGTGCGGTTGCTACAGAAGATGGGGAAGAAACGCAGTCAAAAGCCGACGTCCTGCCGAGTCCGAAATATTTTAGGATTATGCCGCAAGACAATCAGTATTACAACCCCACCTAAGTTATCCTTCCTGATCGTAAATGTAATTCAGAATTTTCGCAAACATTTAAAGAGATCGGCCACTCACTGTAGGAAATAAACAAACAAACATTTCCAGAAAATTGCAAAATCCCTTGAGAAGAAGGATTTTCCGGCCTTGAAAGTCGCGCCTCTTACATAATCCTGGAAGTGTAAACTTCTTCTTTTACTTGAAGGCATCACATCTATTCTTCAAATTTTTCGGATGTTTATCTTTGTCGAATCTATCTTTAGCCAGGCGATTCGCCTGTGCTTTTTGGCTACATCGTGGGTATGCGTGCAGCTTTCTGAGTAGCGTCATTTTGTTAATTAGTAGGACACTTCCAGACCATCTGCATAACGTGACGACGTTTGAAGTTCTTGCGGTCGTCTTGAATTCCGTATGAAAAGACACGCAATCCTTAGGCCTTTGTAACAATGGTTTAATTAGTCCTATTGAACTTTTTCATGTCAAGCGGTGCATAGAAAATAAGTGGAGCCTTTGGAGAGCATTTTAATGGAACGAAAACCGAACAAATCTGTTCTACGATAGAGTACTGGCAAGGCTTGCGCAATAGTCGTCAACTGAATGTTAGGGCCTTTTTGGCGATCAGGACACATTCTCAGTGTAGAGGGATGTTAAGTACCGATTGCAATGCTTGTTAAAGCCCCCCCCGCTTCTTCAGTATCAGTGAAAGTGCCCATTGGGTAAAATTCTAATGGGCTACACTGGCGAATGGTAATTTGTGCTAATGCTCCGCGAAGCCATTTGAACGGTGCAGCAAGATGGAGCTTCGGGGGGTGGAGGCAAGTACAGCACACTACTGTGTCCGCAGTCCGCCTACTAGGTCGGATGTCCTGCTGGGAAAATGCAATTGCTGTGGCAGTAGATAGGACAGAAGAACGAGATTGAAGGGGGGAAGGGAGGGATAGTTTGGGTATGCTGAGAGGGGAGTTGGACTTCACGGGCGGCAGGGCCAGTGGAAGTAAGGTTTGTTGGCCTAAGATGGAACTTGAAGATGATCGCTACAACAGGCCATGCGCGCAGCTAATTAACGAACGCACAAACAGCTCTTCTGCAAACAAACGGTAGGCGTTTCTGCCGCTGTTTGATAACACAAACGTAGCTAATATGTGAAAGAGTTCGTCCACTGAGCACTTGAGTGATAGGATGATCTGACACGATTAATGGATCGGTGAACACAACCTACAGACAATTGAAATCCGTCTGTTGCTACCGAAATCCGCGTGAACCGGTGGCTAAGGCAGCGTGGCATTTGAGTCGACCGTCTGCTAATCAGTTGGCCTGACCTAGACTAACTGGTAGTTAGAAAATGGACCAGAAACAGACATTTTTACATTTATCAGTCCCATCCCCCATTACTAATCGTTAACCGATGTAGTAGTTCGACCGTCGTGCCCAGCGATGACCACCGCGTGCTCCACAGAGGGGTGAAACAGGCGCGGCGACTTACGCAGCATCTACCCCACTCTCTCCCCCGGCCAGGCGTCAAGACAGAGTCAAGAAGCGCGGAGGCAGAGCAGAAGCAGGTGGATGGCACGGCTGGACCCGCACTTAGGCGTATCACCACACCCCCTGCTACATGAGAAACACTTGAGCAGGATTTTAACCAGCAACACCAAAACGTGTCAGAAAGACGATGCTCACGATCTGTATGCCCGGCGGGAGCGCAAGCCCATCTACTGGCAAGGAACCAGGTGTCAGAGAACTGCCAGCGCACACCAGGCTGCGAGGGTCATGGTTCGATGAATCATGGCATAGCAGACGAATACAATTCTTATGCTTCGGATGAGATTGCGCCAACACCTTTCTGTAATCCATACAGATCGGTGAGCACCAGCCCCAAATGAGCCTACAGATAATAGAGAAGGCACTTTGGTTATTGTCTACCTGCTGTGCAAAAACTAGGTTTAAGGTGAACTCTGTCATTTACTTCTCCTGCCCGGCAACTTGCTTCTTGAGAGCAGATAAGAATGTCGGCGCGCACTGCAGTGTCCCAAAGCTACCCACTAAACTTTCGTAAACATTAATACAGCTGAGAACTTGAAAAAATGTCTTTCGTGCGCGTGCGGCGAATGACTTAGAAGACGTCACTGCGTAGACTGCCGTTAAAAAGAAAATCCAGACTGTGATGCACACGAGCACGCCGACAGTTCGACCGTCAGGAACAGCGATGTCCATCGAGTGCTCCACAGCAACGTAGGCGAAGGACGGCGATTTGCATGTAAAAAAGCGGACTGGCGCAGCATCTGCCGCACTCTCCTCTGGCTCATCCCTCCCGCCACGACGACGGCAGAATGTTAAGACGCTCCGAGGTGAGGTGTGGAGCAGCAGCGGACAAAGCTAAACAGCCGGCCGGGTCCCACACAATGTATCACGATGGCGGCTAGGACCTCATGCACGTGAGAGTGCCATAAGGGCCACATGCAGAAAGTCCCGTTGAGCCTGGCATTCAGTCCCGCGAAGGACCACTTTATCCCGTAAGTTGACGGCCTTTTAAGTCAGGCCTTTAGCGCGTCAGGCGGTTATAGTGAAGAACGCACCGAGGTGCCGTGGGGCAGATCCCCCAATATCGATCTCGCTCTCTCCACTGCACCGGTTGACTGTCCGAGACTGTCAGTTATCTTGTGCTGGGATTGAGCTGGCGCGGCGTGAGGCCTGCACCTATGCGTGACACAATATCCCCCTTGTGCAGCAGAATTAATGGCCTCGCGTCGACAGTCATGCCAAGCAATCAGATCCCGGTTTCTGTCCAGTGCACCTGCAGCGCGTCCCGGTATCGGGGCTCACACAAATGCATTACAGTCTCGTACGCGTGAAATAGGAAATCCATTTGGCATATTTTTAATTGTTGGCTGAGGAAAAATTCGCCACCCTTTCGCCTTAGAGGGAGTACAGAACACAACCCAGACTGGTTCACCGAATTGGCATTATCGATCAGGTCCGATATTTTGTCCTGTCCCTGAGATAAACAACTCTTCGTTTTGCACCCGATTTTTGACAAGAACAGTTTTGAGTGAGACATATTAGCGGAAAAGTAGGCAACTGATCGGGGTTTAAAGCCCATGTTTCCTGGCCCGTCGTTAGGGTATTGCTGACTACTCCAAGAAAAATTATTCCAAAGGCTTAGTCCAGACTGTCTGTGTCTCCCCGGAATTCCTACCCACACAAATGTTTCTTTAAAGTACATAAATGATTAATTAACTATCTAATTGTGAAAAACTGGACGCGCTTGCTAGGATTCGTCCTCGCGTCAGACAAGGTAAGATTTTTTCATGACCAGCATTCAATGATCTCGGCGGGGTTGCATAACACAAATTATTATGGGGCTGGCTGTATGGGAGTCATACCCTTTTTGTCGCGCGTTCCAGTCCTACTGTAGACGTTTAACATTCCAAAAATGGGTGGTCACTTGAGGAATGTTATTTGTCAAAAATCGTGCACTGTAGGTAATCCCAACATGCCTTATATTTAAGCCTCCTAATTAAACACAAAACAGTAAAGACGACAAATAAAGCCGTGTTCTGCATCCAGCAGTCAACTGAAATAATAATTAGTGTAAGTAGATCAAGTACAGTTTTCATAGTTCATTTGGAACAATGGAATCGCGCTGAATTTCTGGTATCTCTCATGATGACACCTTTAGTCGTAGCACATTGCCCTAGATGTTTGCCGGCCCATTTCTAACACTGCCGTCTCTGATTATCCTGAGAGGATTTGGGATCGTCACCTCCAAATCGGTAAAACCAGGCGTACATTGAGTAACCGATCTCATGAAGTGCTGGCTAAAATCCTGAAATGTGTTTTCGACTAGGAAGGTTTACTTAAATTTGGTTGAAACATTCATTATCATGGGACACAGTCCTAATATATTTCGGACCCGTCACGATGTCAACTTTTGAATGCTCTATCTTTTAATTTTCTGTACAAACCGTACTTGGTAAAAAACATTTATTTCGAATTTACTTTTTCGCGGACGATGACACTGCGCAGATAGGCTGGATTCGGGAACCAGAACCACAGGAGACAAAAGCAGCCGCGGTGTGAGAGAGAGGAGGTTGCAATAAAAGGCAAGCACGCATTAGGGACTTTCAAGTACCATATGCACGCATCCTCGGGGAAGAAAACGAACTTTGATGACTTGATGGGTGATTTTGCTGCTCGTATTCCAAAAAGTATGTTTTAAATAGCTTTAAGGGCAGATTACCCCACCAGCGGAGTTGCGGGCGCCGTCACAGCTTCAATTCGTCCTTTGAATATCTGGAAAACCCTTACAGAGGAACAAGCCTCCTGCGGCTTCAAGGGCTGCAGAAAGGATTTCTGGCCGTAGTCTTGCATACAAAGCGGTCTACCTGACATTAATGGACGGGCTGACTGCACACCTTGCTTTTTACTGAATCTATTTTAGACTAGAAAGATCGAAGAGGGACGATTTGAAAAATACGCAACGCTCTCATGCTATTCTGTGGTTTGTCTTCATGTAAGTGAAGCATTTTTGGTCAAAAGCTTAGGGTGTGTTATTTGATGACGATTGAGATAAAAAGTGAAGGTATAAAAAGAACGAAGACAAGCATAAAAAGAAGTTTTGAAACAATTTACTTGTTGGCATCGGCCTTACGACCTGCTTTTGTTTCCCTTCTTTTAGTCCCCCCAGACGTAATTCACTAAGTCTGAGCAAAACCTCCAAAACAAAATGTTTCATGGTTATTTTAAAAATTTATACGAATACTTAAGCTGAAATCCACCAGCTTCAGCGAGATTACAGCCTAATTTTCCTAATATGTCAACACTCAGCCTGTCGTACACAAATGCTGCATTATTTACCATATTGACGGCATAGGTACTAGCTGAAAGCCTAGGCAAGCGTTTCGCCGACATTTCTGCAAATTCAACGGCAGTTAGTTGAGTCTGGACACAGTTTGCATTCGCATCCCTTTATAAATCACTTCATTTGTGAGCTCACGCCATAAACGGAGAAATAATCTAGAAAAATAAGACTTATGCGCAGTTACCAGCCGCCAAGCAACCGTACGCTCCGTAGAACCTGAGATATGACCTTGAAATAGCGACTCCGTTCTATCCCTCCTTTCGGTGTTCCTTCTATATTTCTAAGTGGCAACCGCTGTACTGGCGTGCTGTTTTGTGTTCTAGCCTTCGATTCAAACACGGAGCACAGTCAGCGCGCTCCCTCCGCCAATCAGACCGTTGAGGCACCGCAACAACGCAATTGAAAATACAGTAGGTCGGCTAACTCATGAAATGTCAACCGAAGTTACGAATTGCGTTTTCGATTCAAAAAGCCTAATTATGCAGGGCTGTAAAACTGCTCAGCCTACAACCTAATTCTATAATAGTTTAGTTACCACAGGATGTCGGCTTTTGAATGAACTTATTACCGACTGCATGCAAGAAGCATACTTTGGAAAAAATGACTTCTTGTGTAACATGCAATTTTCTGATTGATTTTCGATGTCCTCGAAAATTAAATTATATTTCATGGAAAACATGCATAAAAATATTCATTTTTTCGCTCAATTGGTAGACAATTACATCTTCCAGTTTGTTTCCAACTGAAGGGCATAATTTGGTTTTTATAAACCTCTCTAATTTCCGAATAATTTTGAACCCCACCTGCTGTTACACTTTCATGCAGGATTTCAAAACTACAAGCCGTATATTTTCGGTGTACGGAAAACCATGCATTTTTCTACGGTATAAAGTGGACACCCTATTGGGTTCATAAAATTAAGCAATGGATTTGAGCAAAATTGTTAATTTTACAAGTCCCATTGGTAAATGCAGATTCATGACGTTTTATGAGCGGCATTTCACAGTATAAAAAATCTCACAATTAGAAACTTTTCTGAAACCAATTTATGCTCTTCCTTCGCGTGTAAAATCGGAAAAAGACGTAATTTTCTACCGCATAAATAAGAGAACGAATATTATTTTGCATGATGTCCATGAAATATAATTGAATTTTCGAGGACATCGATAATTCGTTGGAAAATTAAATGCTACGTAAGAAGTCATTTTTTCCAGAGTATAGTTCCTGATTGCAGTCGCAAATAAGTTCATTCGAAAGCCGACACCCTGAGGTAACTGAGTCATTATAGATTTATGTTGCATACTAATTATTTTTACAACCCTACTTAATCAATATTTTCGAAACGATAACGCATTTCGAAATTTTGGTTGACATTTCACCTACTATATAAGTATTTGGTCCTGAAATAGACTGTGTCGTTATTGCGCTAGGCCCGATCGACTGTTACACTGACAGACGATGGTAGTTAGTCAGTTTGCGTTGAGTCTGCCTCAGTCGGCAGCCATGGCCGCAGATGCGTGTCGCCTGCGTTATTCGGAGGCTCAAGTCACGTCAGCCAACTCATCCAATCCGATTGCTCAATCGGCTTGAGTCTTACAAACCATGGAAGAAAAAGGGGCGGTCTAGTTTGCTTACTTCAATCGCTCATGCTCTTCTCTTTGGAAGCAACCCGACGCGAGTTAACGGCCGTGGCTGGGAAGGTTGAAAGTTAATGGAGTCTGAACGGAGTTAAACGGAGTCTGAATTCAATGGCTTCTCCAATGGCAGTTCTCACGATGCGCGCTGCCTGTGAAGTGAGGAAGGCGATGCGCGGCAAATGTATTTTATG